AGAAAGAGTTGTGACTACATACTCGGTAAATTCCGAAATTGTCATTCAAATGTTCTATCCGATTGAATTTACTGAAAGTACTTATGAAAGTCTGACTCTTCGTCTCCTGGAGGCTGGCGTCCTCACATTCTACATCATCATCCAAATGTCGGACCCAAGTGATCAAGGCTGCCTTGCCGCTTGTATTGGACTCTCCTGTACGCTTGTGCACCCCTCCCATTATCCTTGTTCAATGCCGCTGACCACTCTACAGGCTTATCCTTCTTTTCATGCTGTGATCCCGCCGTAAACAACGCCCGTCAGCATTTCGTTTGCGTCCCAACATAATCCGAGTCGTTGACTGACGCTGTCTCTGCTTCTAAGGTCCCGGGGGTGGTGGAGTCTGCACGAAATGCTGCTCGGGCTGTTTCTCATCCAAGATCGACGATGGCGATGACTTCGACGACCCTAACCTCGAGTGGAACCCGCGCAATGCGCAGGCGCCCCAGTCGACTCCGTTGCAGGAGGCCGCCCCAATGACGGTGAAGCCGTCCAACTGAAGTTGAAAGCACCGGTTTGTCTACGTCCTCCTGAATGCAATATCTACTCTGACCTTCGTCAGTCATATCCACCTACCCAGATACACGACATGACACTCGAACCACTTCTCCCACCTCCATGGCCCCTCATCTCTTCCTCTGGCATTGTCGGTTCAGTCCGCGAACATACTACTACGCACACGCACTGTCTATCAGAACAATTGCAGTACGTTTCATGCGTGCGGTTTATCGCGAAATCTGATCCCAAATTGCTAGAACCAGGCAGCAGTGGAGCTATCTGTGTGAAAGAAGCACGTTGTGGTGGCAAAGTTCGACGACGGCGACAGCTTCGAAGACCCCAGCGCCGAATACAATCTGAAATCTAATGTGCGGCCCTAGGCGATGAAATCGGCGAATATAGCGTCAGCTGTTCCCCCGTGGAACGGGAGAACCCTACTTATGTACGTTTGCGCCTTCCTAGCTTTCTGCATTCTGCGCCTCACTGAGGATCTTTCAGGATGCAGGGTTACCACAACCACATTGATGACGTCGCCATCCTTTTCTTGTGCCCGCACTGAGAAACTGCCTGTCATAAAATACTGTGTTTCATGAACACGTATTTCAGTTACTCTTGCTCGGCGGGACTCATCGCTGTGTCATCATCATCGCCCCAGATCGCTCCATTCGCGCTGCTCATCGTGTCTGGTCATGGGGCTGAAAATGCGGCGAGCCAAGTCTGTTGGCATCCCGGAGGGAAGGCATGTTCATTAATGTTCAGCGGAGTTCGACGGTATGAAGGTGATATACCCCATCCACGCGTCGGCGCGTCTCGAGCCTCACACAATCTCCACCCGCACACACGCAGCCATGTCAGATATAGGATCCGCTCTCCTCGAACTCACCATTGGCTGTGTGGGATTTACTTGTGCGTGGCTTCTTCCGACCACCGGGACAGCGAGCGCTGAACTTGTTTTTTGCGTGCTTTGTAGGCTTGATATGCTGTCCTGAGAGCTGGAAGTGCTGCAGACCCAGTGCGTAGCTTGTCCCGCAATACTCGTGTTTAGACGCGCTGACGGCTCGTCATCAGAGAAGCGGCAGGTGTCCACGCACGAAGACAGAGACCCGGGTGTAGTCGACACTCAACCTGTTGAATCGCACCAGATGAACACCGTCGGATTGAAAGACGAACTCGGCGTGGGTCAAAGGCAGGACCCGACGCATGCATGACCAGAGGCAGGGCGGGTATGTTCTCGTCAGTTATGTTCTTGCCAGTCGCACCGTAATAACAACCCTTTCTACAGGCAGCGTATGGGACGTGGCTCGATTTCACGAACTCTGTTTTAGTTTATCGCAAAGATACTCGAATGCTTAATTGATGGCTAGAATGGTCACTTCAGGCTCACGAGTAGGAGGACACAGTCGCATAGTAGGTTAACCCCTAGGATTGTCTTTCCGTCTCCTTCAATCCATTTCTGTCAACATCTGACCAGAGCAGTCGTGCAGTACCTGGCGGCTTGTTGCATACCAAATTTTCCTACTAGAACGATTCTCAAAAGGGCCGTCAAGTGACTTGCCACCAAAGACCTCGACGCCCAACCTGTGCTCCCACACCGCCTGTGAATTGATGCTTCTGGTGAGTGGATCAAGTACCAAAGGCGGCCACCCATTCGACGACGATCGCATTCCGCCCTTTGCACCCGGTTTACACTTCTTCAAACGCGATGGGAGACAAATCGCACTCTTGTGCGATGTGCTGTGGATGGTTTTGTACATTTGGCGCCGTTGTTTATGTGCTCGATTCGTGATTCTGACCATGAACTTACCCATACAGGGGGAGCCGTGTGCTCATGCTATCTTCCTGGTCGTCAATGCCCCCCCCCCTGGCGTCTGAGCATGAAGCGATGCTGATCAACTTATCGCAAGGCCGAACATAGCTTGCGGCTGTGGAGGACGACGATACGAGAAAGATGGGGACGAGGACAGTGATGACTCGGAAGTGCGACGTGCCCAACTCGGACCGACCTTGCCAATGTGATAGACCAACAAACAATCCTGAGCGGGCCCTTCGAGGGTGTGAGTGAACTTGATCCTAGTTCATTCGTCATACTGACCGCTCGGCTTACCAGAGGTTTCCGTACTACTTATCTCTTGGGGAAACGAGCATCACATCCACATACACACGCACTTTGCAAGCCAACACGATGGTTGTGAACCTATATGCCGAACGGCCGGAGATCATATATCACAGTGTAGGTTCTTGAACGGAACGATGCTTCATCGCCTCGCTATCTGTGAACCTACGACGGTCATTGTGCCAGGAACGCGGCGCTTGGTGAGGGAAAGGCCTCGCGGTCCGCGCACGTCAATGCAGAATCCTCGAACACAGCTTCAAGGTTGTCAAACTTACCCAAATCCTATCCCCGGTCCTTTTAACGACGCACGATGCGCTCAACTTCGAATACTTCGAAGCGTACGCGCTTCGCTCGTCACACCGCCATCCGTGATCTAGGGTACGTTGGGACACGCGTTCCAACTTGCCAACGACTCGTCGACCAATCGTCTCACGGAACCTTTTCTAGTAGACGTTCTGTCGCACAGCATTTTCCAGTGCTTTTCATTGTCCCCCCGTCATTGATGCGCGGGCATCGCGAGCCGTGATATCGACGGCCACCTATAAAAGGTGCCGTCTCGCGTTGTTCTGTATTCAACATTTCACCTTCCTCCTCTCGCCGGACGAGCGCCAACACCGGACGAATATGGCCGACCCATGTGTATGCTTTGGGGAATGCATCGGGATTCTCTGTAAGTCCCCGAACGCGTCTTTTCACCCCTGTCTTGTCCTTTCACTCAACGAGATCTGTGCAGGTGCGGGTTTGTGCGTTTCTTTCACCCCCTCGAGTAAGCCTTTCTCCCCCCTTCCTCCCTCGCCCGATCTCTCGTAGAAAAGACGACTCATCCAGAGCCGGGACGGCCGATTCAGCGGCTCCGTCGGGATACTGCAGATGCAAGCGGCGCTATCCGGACGACGACGACATGCAGTTCCCGGAGCTGAGCGGCGATCCGAGCCTGTGGGGACGGGACAGCCAGCCTGGGCCCTCGATGCCGATGATGGAGACGGGGCTCGAGAGTGGCATGGGCAGGCGCGTTGACGCGCATATGGAGAGCACGCGGCAGGCGCAGGCGCAGGCGCACGGGCGAAGCACCAGCACTGTCACCGTGTCGGACGGGCGAGAAGCAGGGAGGGAGAAGCCCTCGATACCGTCGGCGATGGATCAGCCTGGAAGCTGAGGTTTTCTTGTGAGCGCTCTTAAATAAGGTCGCTAAAATCCTGCCATGTGAAGTGAACGGACGGTGCTCAAATAATATGTACTACGTGGGCGCTGGGATATGGGTAGCTTCGGAATTGGTATGGACGAGAGGAGGTGATCTGAAATAAGTGGCCGGCCTCAGTCTCGAACTTGTCCTCGGCAATAACCGAAACGCGTCTGGACTCTGCACGTGGTCAAACGCGGTCGCGTTGTGGTCCCGTGGACCCTCGCCTCCTCGTACCTCTTGCAGCAGTCTTCCACCTCGTTGTACCAACAAAAATTGTAAAACAATCATTGCCCTGCCATGACGAGAGTGGGATTCGAACCCACGCCCTGATCGGACCAGATAACTTGCAGACGTGGGTTCAAATCCCACTCCTTAGTCTGGAGCCTTAGACTGCTCGGCCATCTCGCCTATGGAGATGGCGTTTGATCGAGCTGGTTAACTCCCCACAGCCTTTCCAGGCAAGTACCCTTCCTTGTATAACTTGTTCTGAGTTGTTGGTAGGCGCTCATGCACAGTCAAGCAAGTCACGGCTCAGCGCTCAGCGCTCACTGCTCAGTGCCCGTGTGGGAGCGCGCGAGAGAAGGTAGATCCAGAAGAGATGTACATGAACGAAGAGACGCATGGTGGCGTGCTGGGGAATATACGCATGTCTCTGGTGGCAGAGTAGATAGACGTCAGCGCTTCGGCCCTCGTACCTCGAGCTCCTTTATCGTCTGTGATCCTCTCGTTGATTGTCTGGGAGCGGGGCAAGCCCTCGAAAAAGTGAGTGTCGCCGCAAAAGAAAGAGGCAACTTGCAGAGTCATCCCTCATCGCGCTTTTTGGCCCAGTCAACCTGGCTCATGGAAAAGCCTTCAAACAAACCCCGCATGTCTCCGGGGGCCAGACACGTACTCGGCTTTGAATTAGTAGTGATGACGGCAAGCGGATGTGAGCGCTCAGTCGCGAGAAGGTAATTTCTGGGTGAATGAATGGATTCATGCATGCGGACAACGGAGACTACGCATGGCAGTGTATGGAACGATCATGTACCGCCTAACGCCGCCTCATTCTCCGGGAACGCGGTAGGACGTACGGCCAAATAGAGGAAGGACATTCTCGAGTGGACGGGGATGTCCGACGACGGAGGACCCTGCAAGTGAGCAAAGAAAAGGTGGTGAGAAGCCCGCAATCTGATGCCAGCTACGTAAATTCGTCCTGAGATGGCCTTCGGATGGGGTGAAGACCAAGAGCTGATAAAATTGGCCCAGGCAAAGCGACGAACGCCTGGTGACCTGACAAGCCCGGGCGTCGAGGTGCGGATATCGTCATAGCTTACGGTGGAAGACGCCTGGACAGCGGATGACATGGTGGGCGCTGTGAACGGGGAAGGCGAAGTGGGGAAGACGGACGAGCACGTACCGATCAAGATCGGCGGGGCTCCTTGCGCAGGGGAGAGGAGGGTGGCGCCCGATTGCAATAACCAATATCGAGAGGTCGGGGAGGGCGACAGGAGAGCGGCTGGATACGTCACGCGCACCGAAGAAACGCGTGTGTTCCTTTCGGTTTGCCAGGGCGTGCTGGCGAACATGGACGGGAGGTGTGCGATTGCGCCCGACGTCAGGTGGGACGGAAATAACCTGTGGGGATCACACGAGAGGAAAGCGGCCGAAGGGATGAGGTGAGGCGAGCGAAAGCGACGGATACGATGGGACGGGGGAGTGAAGTCGACGGCAACGGGGAGGGGAGGCGGAGGAGCGTAGGCGATGCAGGCGAGGAGGCGTGCAGGGCGTATGGAGACGCTCGGGAAGAGAAAAGAAGAAAGGACGGCGGGGAGGAGGGGATCGGTGGGGGGCGAGAATGGAGGGGAGAGGGGGTGGATAAGATGGGAGGAGGTGAAGGGAGGAGAGGAGCAGGAGGCGTTGAACGAGCCGGTTCCTCAATTGGCCGATCTCTTCGTCCAGATCTCAGTTTCATCCTTTCCCTTCACCCGCGACTCTTCCCCGCCGCCCCCGCCCTCGCCCCGTACGCGTCCTCCCCGCGATATCGTCCGCTCCCCGTCCCCAAGTCCAACCCGACTCCTCCCCCGAAAGTAGGTGGCTGACGGTGGCGGGTCGCGTGACTCTGTGACCCGTGACGGGGCTCGGTGTGACCGTTGACCGAACATGGCGCGCGAGTGTGGCCACGACGTTCACGACAACGGCAAACCCCCCCGCGCTGCCCCCCGACCCCGACGGTCGCTCTCCTCTCCGCATCTTCATTCCGCCCACGCTTTGCCTCGTCCCAGGGACCGCGTGAGCGAAGGGACGGCTATCGCGCACATCGTGGACGATCAGTCGTGATCAGTCGCCAACCAGCTCCGAGTCCGTATTCCTGAGGACACACGCACGCCCCCCCTCTCACCCTATCGCTCCTCCCTATCGTAAGCGTTCCCTTTCCCGCTCTCCCGCCCTCTTCCCTTCCC